GACGGTTGGACTCGATGATCTTGGAGGTCTTTTCCAACCTCAGTATGATTCTATTTCTATGATTCTAGTTTCAAGTATAAATACTAAAGCATCAGAGAGGAATGTTTTTGTTCTGCTTGGGTATATTCAGTTTCACCAGAAACCAATTGTAACAAAAATAACAAGAGCTTTCCAAGTTACTTTTTACAGGCAGTCATTGAATGCAGCATATAAATGGAAGGGCTCATCTATAAAAGGACTCCTCAAACACACCTTTGGGGATTTATCTGTTGTTGCTGTACAGGCAAGTTTTGTGACAGAATAATCAGAAAAGTGTACCAGAAACTGATTTCTGGCTATGTAACAGTATTTCCACACTTCTATCCTTGCAAAATGATCCTACATTGGCACATATTTAGGGTGACTATTCTACTTGAAAATACTGAACTTTCCTAGTCATTGTACCAGGAGGCAGCCGTTCCGCCTTCTTCCCAGTGAGTATCCCAGGATCAGATCCATCACACTTACACATGTTGTGACATTCTCCTTCTATAATCTTCATGCATTTTGCAGAAGACGACAAAATATCTTGTCATGTTTCTAGGATATACATTGATTTTCTTGAGAGGAATCACAATTTTTTCACCTATTGTGTCCTGGGGATTCAAATGGAAGGAGGTAAGACAGAGTCTTCTCAGCCATTTCTGGTGAAGCTCAAAATACCACAAAAGACGACTGAAGAGAAAGATTTTTGATGAAAGGAAGAAAGCTAATGCAAGCTCAACAAGTGGGATAATTATTGCCTTGGTGTTCTGAAGAAGACCCCAGTCTAGATGTTTTTCTTCCCTCCTTCCCACCCACAACCTTCTTTCTCCTGGGGGGTTCAGAGTGGTCCCAAGCAAAATGAACGAAGTGACCGTCCCGTCCTTAGTATCTCCCAAAGAAACGGTTGTAGGCCATGGAAAATCCTATTTGGTCAGAGAGATAGTCACAGGGGGGGTAGTTTTCACAACGCTCATGCATCTGCTCCATTGGACTTTTGTAATACTCAAAGTACCTGGAGTAGACAGAGAGAGAGATGCCATTCTGCAAATTTTTGACGATGCAGTTGGAGACGTTTCACACCCATGATACTAACATGAGAAGAGTGATTCCCCAGGGTGCCCCAACAGGAGACTTGTTGTGGTGAGTTAAACATCTACTTACACAGAGATGGACTACTTAATTAATGCTGGAAAAAGTTGGAATTGAACCCAACTTAAAGCAATTGCTCTTGAGGTTTTATCAGCAAAGGAGACCACAGAAGCAGTTAGGGTTTTTTTTGTCCCCAACCCAATTCCCCAACTACCCAGGAATCTTTGTTGTTGTTATTTATTTTATTTTTTATTTAATTATTTCCTGCTTACTTTTATTTGCTCCCAGTTTCTGCTCACTTTCCTGCTAGCCACTATTTTCCTTTAGCTTAAGGAGTTTCCTCTCATCATCCTCACTTCTGTTGCTGACAGCAATACTATCCCCACTCAGCTTTTGTTTTGCCAGGCTAAGCAAGCCCAAATCTTCTAGTCTCAGCTACACTCTGGATGCACTTCTCAACTCCTGTTCCAGGTTTGGTTAATCTTTCCTGCTACAGGAGAAGTCCCACCAGTATCTCATTAATTTCTTTATTTCTGTATTGGAAAAACCCTGCAACACCCTTGAATTCCATTTGTTGCATCCATATTTCCAGACTAACGTTACCTCGTGATCAAATAATACACCAAG